CCAGTCATTTTCATTCTGGATTATTATGATATCCAAAAATTAGACTTGACTATAATTACTGCTTTGATTTTAAAAAAAGTCCTCACCCCCCAGTTAAAGACACTATGTACAGGGTAATGAAGCAACATAAACGAAAAAAAAAGAAAATCAAATAACAGATCAACACCTGTATGGTGTTATCTATTCAGGTATATAAAATGTAAGAGTGATATAAATAACCTTTATCCGTCGTGAATATTTCCTTCAAAAAATCTCAGTAAAAAAACATTTCGTATTACAAAAGCAATAGGTAGACAACACCTAAAAGTAATTCTAATGGGGCTGGATTATGCATCGAAAGGAAATATCTAATACGCATAAAGTAGAAAATTGAATTAACTTATATGTTTTGGACCTTCTTTATGATTCCTTCAAATGGAAAGCCACAGTTAGAGTTGTAAGAGGTTTTAAGTATGTCCTTATCGGTAGATAGAAACAATGGTAGAGATTCCAGGTACTTTTCGTTCTGTTGCAATATCTCTGCATCATAAACCATCGGCATGAACCACGGTGCACCTACGGAGGCATACTCGAGTTTTTTGACCTTGGTATAACCATACTCGAGATCGGATGCATGCAAAATTACCGGGAACGTATGACGCGTCATGTCGTTGACGGTGTCGATGGGCCTCAGCTTGGACGCAAAAAGCGGTGGTGTGAGGCTGATGAAGGTCGTCTCAGAGGTCTTTTTCTCGTCCACCCACTTGGGTACGGCAAGCCTCGTGTAAATCTCCTTACCGTGTGCGGCATATGCTCGCTTATAAAGGCCCGCTACAAAGCGACCGACATTCTTAATTCCATCCATCTCGTGTGAGTGCGGGTGTTCAAGCCTGTCTGACAGCAGGTACTTCGCCCAGAGCTCATCGTGAATTTCGGTTCGGTGTATGTATTTGAGCGCAATAACCACCGAAAGCGCATTGACGTAGTCTAACCCGAGGAAACCGGCGCGCATACCGTAAGTGGACCGCGCCGCCTGCCGCTCATGCAATGGCATCGAAAAAACATCCTGCTTAACTTCCCATATCAAGAGATCCTGATGAAAACATGAAAAAATGGATTGATCGCAATACCATCCCCTCCGGGTTCTGGCTTTTGGTTTATGGGTTTCTGTTAACTTTTTAACCTTCTCTAGGTATTCCCTGTACGCCCAAACACGAGCAATTACAATACCCATGTTGGGATGGCGATATGGGGATTGGTCAAAAGGCAAGGTGAGTTTATGCTCTGGGTGTGCAGCCGCATGCGCACGAACCTTTTTATAAGCCGCTTCATACTCAACTTTACAACACTTATTGCTGAAGTATAGATTCGGTGCCCAACAACAATCCTCCGCGAGCGCTACGATCGGTGCCATCGCACGGTCCTGCCGAACGGCCAGTGCATCCAGCTCCTCCGGTGTTTCGGCGGACTGTGAAATGAAATGATCGAGGAATGGATGAATGTCCACACCCGTAAAAAGCGTGTCGGAATCCATTAAAATAACGATATCTTCCGGATTCAGCTGCGCATTCTTGATGGCACTTTCCGCGAAGTCGAGCTTGGATAAAAACCCTTTGTACTTCATCTGATAGCCGGCTACCACTACGGGCAGCCCGCTTAGGTAGGCTGAGCCCACTGAATAGCAAATGGTACCATCAATTCTATCACTCATAACGAAGATGACGACACGAGGCCCTGAGGTTCGAACAAAGATATCTTGCATTTCATCATTGGAAAGCGCGAAGGGTTCAGAGGAGATTTGAATCGAGTCACCAACGTAAAATAGACAAAGGAATGTAAGCAGCATGCCGATGTACCAAACGGCAAGCGACCGTCTGGGACGAGCCCTAGAAATATTACTTCCCCATAGCCTTTGTAGAAAGGGTTTTAATGATGCCATTGTTTTAGTCTACTTTTCTTGTAAGGCTTTCAGAAGCAATTATTTTTGTCGCTGAATAAACTGAAGAAATGTGGATTATCGTAGTATCTAAATAAATTCAAATGGAATACAAAATGGAAAAGGGAGAGGAAGAAAATAAGAATAGAATATAATCAGAGTTCAGGTTAATAATACATAGAAAATTATGTAGTAAATTCCCACACAGTTTGAATTTTTTTTTAACTGCTTGTCAATCGCAATTAATGTTTGTCAGTGAGTTCCTCCTACCTGGTGCCACGTGCAGTAGCATCTCACAAAGAGATCCTAAACTGAAATACTCATGAAAGGATAAAAAAAAGGGTGAACCGCGGAGGCTTGAAAAGGGCGATGCGAATTTAGCCCAAGAGCATGAAAGATTCCCAGTACAAGCAGTGAAAGAAGGTCTAGTTGCACGATTGAAAAATTTGAAAATGGTTCAAAGTATGTACCGGTCCAACTAAACGCATCGCGATCTTTTCATCTTTGAGACAAAGCTCCAGTGGGATTACTCCTTCTACATAAGTAGCCCAGACGCTTCACCGAATTAAAAAAATT